GCCCGTCAGCGATACATGATTTTCCACTAGTGTATATTAGCCCCTAATGTTTTGTAAACCCTAAAAAAAACCCGCGCCACACTTCTGTTCCCCAAAAAAATACCCGCGCCTATTACCCTACAGAAACACCTACTTCCGCCCCTATTGGTTTCTAATTTTTTTTATAATAACAAATTAGGGTTAATATTTTCTAAACCCTAAAATCTATCTCCTAACTCATGTCGTCTTTTTCCCCCAACCCCAAAACAAAAAGAAATCCGCAAGGCTCTACCTCTTCCCGACCAGATCCGAAGTTCGGCCCTACCATCGGTAATTTTTTTCTTTTATTTTTGTAATCACCCTCTTCTTTCTCAATCTCACTTACAACCTCACCCTCATTATCATTATTTTTGTCATCATCATGACCGACCTCATTCTTCACATCAAGCCCTAGTGACTTGTTCTGCACCGCCTGAGCCGGAAACCTGGTTATAGTTCCGATGAACCGGAAACCCCATCAGATCGCTCGCCCAAACCCTAGATCTAGAAGAAGGAACCCTAGCATCCTTCTTCTTCAGATCGTCGGCGGTGATCTCCTTCACCGATCCTGACGGGTCAATGGAGTTCGAACCCTCCTCGTTCCGATGCTTCGCCATGTTTAAAATAACTCTAGATCTTTCTTTTTATATTTTTTCAGTATAATTGTTTTAATGTTAGTATTTATTTTTTTAGTATAATTTCGTTGCCGCCATTGCAAGGGTGCCCTCAAGCTAAATCCATTTTTTAGCGTTATTTTAGCATCATGATTATTTCATTGGCTTTTATTGAGTTTATTTCTTTTTTATTATATTTCTTATTGGATTACTTTTGTTTGATTATTGACTTATTGAATTATCTTATGAAGAATATGTTTGCTTACTAGCCTTGATTCCACAGATTCTTTCTTTTGCGTGAGGAATTGGGGTTTTCTTTTTACTAATTCGATCTGTTGGAATTATGAATTGCAATATCTTTGAAGAGTTATATGAATGATCATTGAGCTTCTTCCTTTCTTCAATAATCTTTTGATGGATTTGTGGTATGGAATTATGAATTGCAATGATTTTGCGGTCATTAGATGTTTGTGAACATGATTTGAGTTTTTCATTTGTCTTGGCCTAACATCTTTTGTTTAGTTTTATCTGTAGTAGTTAATTCTTCTTGAAGTATCAACATGACATCATTACAAAGCAACAGGCACATCATCTAGCAACAATTGCTCATTCAACTATAAGATACAGGAATAATCATTGAAGTTATTTTAGTTCTCTTGCAAAAAAATAAAAAAAAAGACGGCCATTTCATTTGGAATGTACAGGGAGAAATCTGAGTTGAGCCTTTAAAACTCTGAGTCAACAAACAGAAACAGTGGGTATATCCTTTAAAACTCAAGAGCCTTTAAAATGTAACGTTATGACTTAGCAATGAACCCAAATTCCCCAATATCATCATAAAATAAAATAAAAAAATAATTAACTCTAAGAATGTTTGGTGGTTACTGTTGAATGTTACTTGGATCCTTTGCTTAACTAGTGTAATTATTTGCATAGGTGAAATAAGAAATCCAAAATAATAGTTGTAGGAGAATGTTTAATTTGTAGATGAAGCCCTTGCCAAGTCTAGTCGTAAAGATAAGATCACATGTCCTTGTAAAGAATGTTGTAATCGTTATTTTGAAGATAAGATGACTGTGGTGGGACATCTTCTTTGGCATGGAATGGACCCTTTATACATGAATGCTCGATGGACACATCATGGTGAGCCTTACGTTGAATCAACAAATGTCATGGAAATGGATGTTGTTGAAGGAGGAGATGTAGGTGAAATGCATAATTTCCTTAATGAGACATTTGTGCAACCAAATATTGGTGAGAACATAGGGTCATCGAGGCAACCTGTTTTTGATGGTCGAACACCCGAGGCAGAGCGATTTTTTAAGTTACTTGAACAAGCTGATAAGGAGTTGTATCCAGGATGCAAGAAGTATAAAAAATTGGATGCCGTCGTAAAATTGTACCATATCAAGTGTTTGGGAAATGTGACTAACAAGGCTTTTGATATGTTTTTAGAGCTTTTTAAAGATATGTTGCCTGAGGGAAATTGTTTGCCACGGTCTACTTCACAAGCTAAAAAGATTATTGATGATTTGGGCCTTACTTATGAGAAGATTGATGCTTGCCCTAACGACTGCATGTTGTTTTGGAAAGAGACAGCAAACTTAACCGTGTGCTCTACATGTGGTGCGTCAAGATATAAAGTGAAAAAAGTAACAAGAGTTGGTGATAGTTCAACTGGGGATAATTCTATTAAGAAAGTATCAGCTAAGATTCTCCGTTATTTTCCACTAACACCGAGGTTGAAAAGGTTGTATATGTCAAAACATACTGCAGAATATATGAGATGGCATGCGACCGAATGCCCTAAAGATGGATTTATGAGACACCCGTCAGATTCTCCAGCTTGGAAGCATTTAGATTTGTTGTATCCAAATTTTGCATTTGAAATTCGAAATGTAAGATTGGGTTTGGCAAGCGACGGGTTCAATCCTTTTGCACATATGAGTAGTGATCATAGCACTTGGCCCGTCGTAATTTCTGTTTATAATCTGCCTCCATGGATGTGCATGAAGCAACCCTTCTTGTTTCTTTCTTTACTTATTCCAGGCCCTAATGCACCTGGAAATGATATTGATTTGTACTTGAAACCTTTAATGGATGAGCTAAAGGAGTTGTGGGAAGTTGGTGCCAACACTTATGATGTGTTTTCCACTCAGTCATTTAACATGAAAGCTGCTGTGTTGTGGACAATAAATGACTTTCCTGCATATGCGAATCTTTCGGGATGGAGTACGAAAGGGAAGCTTGCATGTCCTCAATGTCATCATCAAACAGTATCAAAACGCCTGCCTAATTGTAAAAAGCAATGTTATTTGGGTAATCGCAGATTTTTTCCCATAGAGCATAGATTTCGAAATGATGAAGCATCTTTTGATGGCAAATGCGAGAGGGGTCAAGCACCAAAGATGTTGATCAGGGCCCAGTGTATAGCACAAATGTCTAATCTGACATTTACCTTTGGGAAAACATCACCTTCAGAATCTGAAACTGATGATATTACACGGAAAAAGAAAAGAAAAAGAAATACTTCAGCTACCTCCAAAGAACCAAGAAATGGTACTAATAATCCATGGAAAAAGAAAAGTATTTTTTTTCTTTACCATATTGGGAGCATCTTTTGATACGTCATAATCTAGATGTGATGCACATTAAGAAGAACATATCAGAAAAAAATTTTGTATACATTGTTGGGCACTTCTAAAAGGACAAAGGATGGACTTGAAGCTCGTGCTGACCTAGAACTTCTCAATATAAGGAAAGGTCTCCATCCAATTCGTGTGGGAGCTAGGACATACTTACCACCTGCAATATGACTAATGAAGAAAAGACACTATTTTGTCGTGTGTTATCGAAGGTGCGAGTTCCTGATGGATACTCATCAAATGTTGCGAGGTCTGTTGATGTGAAGGATCGAAAAATACATGGTTTGAAGAGTCATGATCATCATGTTATAATGCACCAATTACTCCCGCTTGCGATACGAAGGGTTTTGCCTAGACCTCTTACTCTTGTTTTGCTTGAGTTAAGTGCAATCTTTAGACGGTTGTGCGGTAAGAAAGAATCTGAAGCATCATTCAAGCATTTGGAATATAGAATTGCATTGATTGTATGTTATTCGGAGAAAATGCTCCCTCCTTCATTCTTTGATATAACAGTTCACTTACTAGTTCATCTCGCCCACGAGGCTGCTATTGCTGGACCAGTCCAATATTGATGGATGTATCCCATTGAAAGGTAAAACACAAAAAAATTATTAAACTTTTTGCTTCTAAATTTTGCTTGCCTTCTATAACTCAGTTAATGTTTTTTTTTCCTCTCGAAAGGTATTTACAAACATTGAAACGATATGTTCGAAATAAAAACTATCCGGAAGGAAGCATTTGTATAGGATATCTTGCAGACGAGGCTTTGGCATTTTGCTCCATGTACTTATCAGACATTGAGACTCGTCGTACTCGTCATGGTCGTAATGCCGATATTTCTACCCCTCGTGAAGGCTTGTCAATCTTTGCATACTCAGGTCGTTGTGTGGGTAAAGCCACACAAGTAGATCTTGAAAGAAGCATATGGGAGCAATGTCGTAAATATATTTTGTTCAATTGCAGCGAAGTCTCTCCATTTCTAGAGTGAGATATTTTATTAGATGTTTAGCCCCTTTTTTTGGTATGTCTAGTTCATTAAGTGAATTTTAAGTTCGTACTTGTCTGTTATGGTTAACTTTAATAGAAAAAGGATGGCGGAGTTACGCAAAATCCACCGACGGAAAACTGTTCGAGAAGTAGAGAATTTGAGAAATAAGGAATTTCCTACTTGGTTTCAGAACCATGTAAGTTACAGCTTCGTAGTTATACAATTATCATTTTTTGTACCACACTTTTTTGTAATATATAATTGACTTTGTTAATTATTGCCTCAGGTGAATGATTTGCATGCAAAAGGCGATTCTTCCGTAACGGAAGATTTACGTCGACTTGCTAATGGTCCTAATATGACTGTGAAACAGTATAAAACCTGCATTGTTAATGGTTGCAGATTGCGAATTAAATCGGTTGATGACAATCATAAAAATAGAAATTGTGAAGTCTTTGTTTCTGCACAAACCTCAAGTTATTCTAGTGTGAGGGACAACAATCTGATTACCGGTAATGTTGACTACTATGGAGTTTTAAAGAATATTTACGAATGTGATTATGGTCTTCCTGGAGAGCCTGAAGGTCATGGATGTAAAGTGGTGTTATTTGATTGTGATTGGGTCAGCAACTCTGGGAAGAAGCTTGATAATTATGGTTTCACCTTAGTGAATTTTAAACACTTGGCACACAACAACGATACATTTATAATAGCTTCACAAGCTGTACAAGTGTTTTATGTTTGTGATCCGAAAGACATGGATTGGAATGTTGCTGTTAAATTAAGCCCGAGGGATTTATTTGATGTCATGGAGAGTGATGATGGATCATCAATTATGTCCAACCCATTAAATTCAGATGATTATTATGCCATACCAAATCTTGATGATCGGGCACTAGACGATGAAGAATTACAAGTTAGAACTGATATCCGTGGAACCTTTGTTAACAAGCAGTTACCACTACCAGTTGCTAATGATTCTGTAGGTAATGAGGAAGAGCTTGAGGATGATGATGAGGAAAACGAAGATGATGAAAGTGAGGACAGTGAAGAAGAATTGAATTAGTAGATTTTGTGATTGTATTATTAGTAGAATTGATTCTTTTGAAATTGCACTTGTTTTATTTGTTATTCATTGGATTTACTGCTCATGCATTTTTTTTGAAAGTGTTTAGTTAATAAATTACTGAAAAACTTGTGAAGTTAGATTTGATAATTGATGCCATACTTTGTGTTTGGGATTTTTTACTATTTAGATGAGTAGAGTTGAGTATTCTGCTTCCAACGAAGAACACAATATAGAAGAGAGTACAGGGGAATTTGATGGCACTCATGATGATAATGGTATGGAGAATGTTTCATCAAATTGTTATCTATGAAATGCTTCGTATTAATATTTTACACCCTATTTCCCAAAAAAAGGTAAGTTGTGTTGCCTGAATGGATATTCTATTATTATATATTTAAGCAAGAATTTGCTGGGTATGAAAAGCGTTTCTAGAAGAAATCCCAAGTGTTGCGACTTGGGTATCTGATAATTTTGTGTTCTCTGTCTAGACCTCTAAATTGTATATAAGCTAAAATCCTTTCAGATTTTATCTACCAGTAGTAAAAGATCAAATTGTCATTATGGAATTATTAGACTCAAACTGCTATGACATCTCCAACTAATGCTTCGATCTTCATAGGTGAAAACTTGAATCGTTTGTTCTACAACTGCACTCTCTCAGTAGGTTTATGTCATGGTTAATTTCACATAGACCCCTGAGTAGGCTCAGATGAACATGATCAGACTTTACCATATAGCCATCCTTTAAATGCACATTATCAACATTCATCCTTTGAATGCACATTATCAACATATGTTCGTTACATTTAAGATAAGTTCGTTTCCTCCGGATGCGAGAAAATGCAAGGTACTACAATTTTCCATTCCCTTTATTTTATTTTATTTATTTATTTATTTATATGTTTTGTTGGTCTCCAGGACAAAAGTTACTATTCAGTCACTACACAATTGAGAAATACTATAGCGTAAAGAACAAGGCGATTCTCTTGTAGCTCCAAGCTGCTCTCCAGCAAAAGTAAAACATCAGCATGTACGTAACTGATTTAAAATAATAATGTGCTATTCAACCCATTATATATAACAAACAAGTACAGTTCCACACAGGATAAACTAATCATTGCAGCATATTGGTTTCTGAAGAACTTGAAAATTCCATGAATTCTGATCAAACCAAGTGAGGGAATGACAACAATGTTTCATAATGAAACAAGTATATGGAAATTTTGCAACAATCTCATACTACATGGCTCATTATTATATGATGGAGCAGCGGTTATGAGAAATTTCATGATAGCCTCGAGTTTTATTATGATGTTTGCAAAGCTGGGGCGTAACTGGGGATTCTTGTGCCAACATTCACAGTAAAATCTTTGGCTGGGGCGTAACTGGGGATTCTTGTCAGAAAGGCTTTTGCTCTGTTATTAACTTTAGTGTATGCAGGTCAAACGCAAAAGAAAAGAGGGCGTGGTTATGAGAATTAGTAAAT